GTAAGAATAGCCATTAATTTTTTAGTCATTGCTTGCATTTGTCAGGTTAGATTATTAAGATCTGTTTTCAATTTTTTATTACTTTGAGACCTTTTTCTACTTTTATCATTATAATATTCTCTAGCTTTAATTTTATAGGTTCTTAGTATGGCCTCTTCTAATATAGCAAATTCAGCAATACTCAACCAAGATGCTGTCTTTGGTTTCAAACTTCCTAAAAATATTCATACTATATATGGTTAGGCAACTGATATTCTAGATCAACTTTTCTCAAAAGTTTCTTGAACTTAAACACATATAAATCAATATGCTCATTTTTCATTATACTAGCAAATTTAAATCTACTTGCCATTTATGATATCATTTAAATGTAGTAAAATATTGCATAAAGTGAGAGATGAAGCTTGCTTCAGGCTCATTTTCATTATTTCAGAATTCTAACATTCTTTTAACTCTATTATACTAGTTGGTGGTAATGCCTTGTTAATACTCAGGGGCTATCTTGATCTTTCTTTCAGAAGTCCAATTATTCGCATCAGCTGCTTGATCGAACAGTTTAACCTATTCGAAGGATCCTCTTCTTCAGTTCTATAAAATGGTTCTATATATACTAAGTTAGTTTCATGAATTGGGTTTTTGGAGCAGCAGCAGCTCTAGTGGTAGCATCTCTGAAAGTATTAGCTATTTTTTTTAAAACTGCCTAGAGAGTGTTCTGGTTCTGATACAAGTTCAGGTTTCTATTATTTCTACTATTTTTTTTTTCAAAATATGTGGAGTAATTATTGATGAGAGTTCTATTTCTATCACTATATTTCAATTATTGATCTTTATTATAGACAAATTGGGCTTCATTATTTTCTTGATTGGAAAAAAGATCATTATTATTGACTTGGCAAACATTTTGCTAGTTTATGATATCTTTTTATTGCTTATTTTTAAAGCAAGTTGCAGTATATAGAGGTTGCAGAGTATCTTAAAAGATTTGATTGTTGACTAGAAGAGATGAAATTGATTTCTATTTTAAGATTTATTTATATAACCCTTTGGAGTTTATTTGCTATCACTTCGTCAATTTAGACACTCTTTTTTTTTAAAAAAAAAAGTCATACATGTGAACTCTAATGTATTAACAGTTAATTTTTTTTTATCTATTAATATATATATATATTATATATATATTTATTTTTTATTATTATTTTTCTTTGTTCTTATTAAGCATCTTGATTATTTTATCAGTTTTTCAGAAGATACCGGTTTTCTTTTTTTAGGTTTCCTCGATCAGATAAGTATCTACTCTTTTTTTCTTTTTTTTTTGTTTTGTGTTATACTAATTCCTATTTTAGATTTTTAGATTCCAATCAACTAGTCTTATATCTAATAGTAATTACAATAATTACAACTTGTGAGGAAAGCAGAGAATTATAATACGAAGGTTAGGGTTGTGACAATAGTTTTGGTGAACTCAGTACATTGGTTCTAAAATAAAACTTCTTAAAAAAACAATTCAATTCTCAAAAAAAATTATTACAAAGTAAATACAAGTAAACACAGTCTATAGTCTACAAAAAAAATTTTTAAAAAAAAGCAATTCAGACTTGATATGTTGGTCCTCAAATTCAACAAACAAACTATCAACAATAAAAAAAACATATTAAAAAAAGGGGTAGTTAGCATTATAGTTTCGATTTTGAATTTACAGTTACTACCAAATTGTTATAGGCCAAATAGACAACCCACATACACAAAACAAAAGAGATATCAAGGCTTACTCAAT